GCGACCCAGTGAGCGACCGCGGGGAAACAGCGAGGGAGCAGGGCTGCAGGTTGACTGTGGTCGCGCTTTCCTGCGCAGATAGACAAGCAAGGGAGTGGGCGGTGAGACTACTGGACTGAGCAGGCCCCATGGCGAGCGGCAGCACAGGGCGCTGCCATTTCCCTGCTCTGACCCCGCCTCCACATACTGTGTCATAACCCAGCGACCTGAGTGGCCCCGCCCTGGTGAACCACCTAAGGTTCTGCTCCTCACCCAGCGGCGGCGGGAAACAGCAGAGGAGGTCGCCATTTTCCCGCTCTGACCATGCCCCCACATATAGAGTCACAACCCAGCGACCTGAGAGTCCAAGGCTACGGTACTCATACTTAATGGGTGAGAACAGACCAAATATGGCTCAAGAAGATCTCTAAGCCCCAGAGCCTATAAATCTAAGCGATGAAGAAATAGCAAAACTCTCAGATGCACAGTTTAAAACACTGGTGATCAGGATCCTCACAGAACTGGTTGATTATAGCCACAAATTAGACAAACATATGAAGGCAAAACTAATTGAAATGAATGGAATTGCACAGGAAACCAATAGCGATGAAAAGGAAACTGGGACTCAAATCAATGGAGTGGACCAGAAGAAAGCAAATAATGGCCAAACAGAAAAGAGTGAAGAAGCAAGAATTCAAAAAAAATGAGGAGAGTCTTAGGAACCTCCAGGACATCTTTAAACGCTCCAATAGCTGAAGTATAGGGGTACCAGAAGGGGGAAAGGAACAGCCACCAGTGGAAAACTTATTTGAACAAATAATAAAGGAGAATTTCCCCAATCTGGCAAAGGAAATAGACTTCCAGGAAATCCAGGAAGCTCAGAGAGTCCCAAAGAAGTTGGACCCAAGAAGGAACACACCAAGGCACATCATAATTACATTACCCAAGATTAAAATGAAGGAGAGAATCCTAGAAGCAGCAAGAGATAAGGGGACAGTCACCTACAAAGGAGTCCCCATCAGACTGTCGGCAGATTTCTCAAAAGAGACCTTACAGGCAAGAAGGGGCTGGAAAAAGGTATTCCAAGTCATGAAATCCAAAGACCTACAACCAAGATTGCTCTATCCAGCAAAACTTTCATTTAGAATGGAAGGACAGATAAAGTGCTTCTCAGATAAGATCAAATTCAAGGAGTTCATCATCACCAAGCCCTTATTATATGAAATGTTAGAGGAACTTATCTAAGAAAAAGAAGTTAAAAAAACATGAACAGTGAAAGGACAGCAAACTCGCAGTTATTAACAACCACACCTAAAATAAAAGCAAACTAAAAGGACAGCTAGATCAGGAGTGGAAACATAGAAATGAAGATCTCAAGGAGGGTTAGCAATAGGGGAGTGGGAGGAGGAGAAGGGGAGAGAGGGTACAGAAAATAAGTAGCATAGACAGTAGATAGAAAATAGGGGGAGGGCAAGAATAGTATGGGAAATATAGAATCTAAAGAACTTGAGACACAAGGTCATAAACTAAAGGGGGGGTAATGGTGGGGACGGGGGGTAGGGTGGAAGGGAATGAAGGGGGGAATAGGACAACTGTAATGGCATAATCAATAAAAAAAGAAATTAAAAAAAAAAAGAATGACAAGAGCACTGAAAGCAGTGCCCAGCACCTCTTAAGCACTATTGGTGAATTAGCTAGTACTACAGAGATATGTCCTTCCATGTGGGCAAAGTCTTAGGGGCCTTCTCTGACCAGATAGGTGCCTGCTTATTCTTACAGAAGATCTCATGAAGGAAACTCCCTATTTGGGAGTCCTGCCCCTTTGTGAGACCATTTCCAGAGTTTTCTGGCTGTTTCTCAGTTTCCCAGAGGCCAGAGAAGGGGGGCACAAGGGTGGAGGCTTACCAATAAAATGAACATGAAATGAAGAAAATATGATCAAAACTGCATGGGGCTGGCTGTGGACAAACACCCACACAACAGGGACAGCCCCACTGTCTTGAGAACTGGATGTTCTCCAGGTGTGAGTTGTGGAGGGCGTCTGGGAAAGAGCCATGTTCAATTCCATTTTTTGTTTATCAGATGTGTACTGCAACTTCCTCTGTGCCAGCTCCTGTGCAGAGCAGTGTTGGCAATTGAGATGGACAGGCCCAATCCCTTCTGCTGGGAACTCTATCAATGGACAGCACAGGGAGATGTTGTCCATCTATGAAGCTAGGAGCTACCTGAGCTTCATAGGTATCGCTTCATAGGTATCACTTTATAGGTATCACTTCCTAGGTATCAAAGGGATGTCAGATCCCTTTAGGAAGATGCTGGTTTCTGGGTAGGAAGGTATCACTCAGCTGCTGACCTTAAACCTGTAGCAGGTGCCATGTGCCCTAGGGAGGAAGGTGTCTACCTATAGACAGGCAGCAAGGTCCCCATACCCTACCTGGGGAGCTAGGAGTCCACACCACCCCTCAGAGAACTGGCAGCTTCATTGTCATGGAAGCAGGTTGGCTTCTGGTCCACCAGAACTCAGGATGAACAGAGATGCCACACTTAGTGAATTATAGTGAAATGGAATGGAAGACACAGTGCTGAGAATGTTTGAGTGAATCAGGACCAAGTCCCAAATTGCTGGGCTAAGCTCTCATGTTTTGGGCAGGGAGATAAGGAGATAAAACCCAGTGCCCATGAGGGATTGGTGGCTAGAGATGAGAAAAAGGGAGAGAGCACACCAGAAGGAAAGGCAGTGGGTGGAGAAAAGGTGGGGAGGACTGCTTACCTGTTCTCTGCGGGACTTTGGTGTCTGCCCCTAGACTTCCTCAAAGTTCTTCATTTGCCTCCCTAGCTTTTGGATTATTTTCTCTCTTCCTGAGTCTCAGCTTCTCCTCTGTTCCCCGAGGGTGTTCCATTTCTTAACGTGTGTGACTTTGGGGAAGCCTGTGTTTAGCCTGAGACCCAAATATTCATGAGTCAAATCTTTGTTTGGAGGGACTCTTAAAAATTAGACTACCCTCCACCTGACAGATGGAGGAACTAAGGCCCTGGCGGGTAGTGAGGAAAGATTTTGCCTAGAGTTCAAGAGTGAGGGGCAGAAACAGGACTGTACAGCTGCGCACTGAACTCAGGCCTATTCTTGTAACACGCAGTGGCAGTGGCAATGGCAGGAAAGTAGTGTCCAGGGACCTTTGTCCTGGTAGCACCTTCTTCAGGGCTTCCATCCTCAACTTCCCCTGCTGGTGTTTCCCTGAGTGTCCAGAGGGATGGTTTGTGTCTGCTTCTGGGGTAGGCCAATCTCTACTTGGCTTCACTGGGAACTGAAGAGGAGTTGAGGAAATGTGCCCCCTCACACCTATGTTTGTCCTCTGCCTACTGGGGTTCAGGGCATAGAATCAAATGGTATGCACAGCTGGGACCTTTAGAACCCCATGGCTGGCTGAGTTGATGGTTGGATTAATGGGTGAATGTGTGGGTGGATAGGAGGATGGATGGAGGTCTAATGGATGCAGGGACGTTAGATGGATGGATGCATGGATGCATGAATGGATGGGTAATTTCTGCCACGCCGCAGAGCCAAACTTCCCAGCCATTACAGCGTTCTTGGAAACTATCCCCATCCCTCCCACTCCTTGTAACTCTAAGACCTGGGAAATCTGAGGTTTTAAATACCTTCTTCTGTGAGCAGAAGGAGGAAGAAGCTGTCACGCTCTTAGCTCAGTGAGGAGGGGCTGGCACAGCCCCCTAACCACCTCTCCCCTTCCCAGGCTGCCAGACCAGCACAGGCCTGGTTTTGTTACCAGACGTAAAATGTTTGATCTAGTGTTGGGTACTCTTGCCAAGTGAGGATGCCCAGTCTGTCATTTGGCTGCCATTCAGCCCCAGTGGCACAGATTTGCTGCTCCCAGCTGGACCTTAGAGGTCATAGCTGGGCAGCCAGCTGGTTTCCCCAGAGGACTTCCCAAGCTCAAGAAGTTTACTTCTTCCAGAGCTGCCTTGGGCTGCTCTAAAAGTTACAGGGCTTTTGTCTCCTAGAGCTGATATTCCTTCCCGGTGAAGCCCCTGGTCTCAGTATTGTGGTCTTCAGGGGTGTGGTGGACTTCCCTCAGGCAGAATTGCTCTGGTTTCCCTGGCTGCTTCTTCTTCAACACTCTTGGTCCTGTCCCATCTCTGACCGCTGGCCCCCAGGTCTGTATGTCAGTGTCCTGAGAAGTGTGGTCCCAGATGGTGCTGGACCTGGCCCAGACTGACTGGGTGAGAGAGAAGGGCTGGCCTGGAGGTCGGAGTCTGTATGGACAGACGAGCCTTCACCCCTGGCTGCCAGGTCTTTCTTCACATGTTCATTTTCTAGAGAATTAGTTGAGTAACTACGTTGTGCCAGGAAGTGTCTGGACACCAGGGAGACTGTGGAAACCAAACAGACAGGATCCCTGTCCAGGAAAGCGGACAAACTAGCCATTATAACTCAGTGTGATGGGTGCTGTAAGGGAATAGGGACAGGGGTTCCTGAGAGGTTAGGAGGGAGAGAGGCTACCTAACCCAGCCTAGGATCAGAAAATGCTTTTTGGGGGAAGAGTCATCCAGAACCAGAGATGAGCTAAGTGGGCAGGAGAGAGAGAAGAGTGTTCCAGATGAGGGAATGGCATAGGTAGATGGGTACTCCCACCTCGGTCAGTAGAGCTGGACCCCCTGTCTCTCCTTTACCCATGAGAGTTGGTTCCTGACAACTCTCTTCCCCCAGTGACACCTGATCTTGACACACCTGTGTGCTGGAACACCTGCCTCAGAGAGCGGAGACTGGGAGGCATGGAGAGTTTGGCCTGTTCGGGAAACTGACACGGGTTGAGTTCTGCTGAACCATGCAGTGTGACAGGGTTTTGAGGAGACAGGAGGGGGGAGCCCTGATTGTGGGACCTTATCCTGAGAATACAGGGTGCTATGTGGAGGTTGATGAGAAGTTTGCTCAGGCCACAGTGTGTAAAACAGACCCTGCTGTTCCATTACCTAGTCCTCCTGGATAGACAGCAAACAGATAGAACCATGGGTACCAGTGGGCTTTATTGGAAATATTGCAGTCTGGGCATGGGGAAGCTGTGCTCTTGCTACACTTACCCTCTCACTCACCCTCTTGCTCACATTCACACACACACACACACACACACACACACACACACACACACACACACACACACTCACACCAACACTCTAGGCCCTGCTCAGGTCTTGTTGTACAGGTCTGGTTCTGTCTTCTAGGTCTTGGTTCTCCGGGGTGGCAGTGATTCACATCCTCCACTCAGACACAGGGCTCTCTTGGGGGCTGTCATGGGCTAACTTAGCTTGCTCTGGAGGAGAGAAGAGAGAGAAGGTCACTGGCTGGGGTCTTGGGCAATTGCTCAGAGGGAGAAGGCAGGGCTGGGGAGGGCAGGCTTGCCTTGGCAGCGTTCCTCTTCAATCTCAAGACGAGGCGTTGCACCCAGGGCATCTCTGGTGGTGCACAGAGCTGGTGGCCTCTCAGTGTGGTGAACCTGGGGTCAGAGGTAAGAGAGGTTGGAACCCTGGAACCCAACTTCCTGGTGGGCACTCGTATGGGGGCAGGCAGAGGCTGAGGGTCACCTCTGAAAATCTGTTTCAGGGGCTCCCTTGAAGAAGTTGGGCATGGCAAGAAGAGAGATAAGAAAGTGGGGGTAGATTGGGGATATGAGGCTAGATGCACTCCTCCCCACAACTCACACAACGGCGGGCACTTGGCAGCCATGCTGGAGGAGGATGTATCGAAAGGATTGCACCCTATTTGCAGGGATAGGGCGCTTGCTCACAAACAGGCAGCAGTCTTCTGCGTCGTTGGTACCACTCTGAGCTGGGGTGGCCAATAGGCAATAGGTGAAAGATGGTAGTGTTAGAATAAGGAGACCTTGAGGAGGGGTGGTCACAGTCCTAATGGATTCAGGACACCTGTGTGTGTGTGTGTGAAGGCAGGGAACCTGATATTTAGCCAGTATGCACCAACATGGCCCTCCTGATTGCTAAATATATTGAAATACTTCTAAGCTGTTTGTTAAACAACCACTGTTTTGAGCCCCACAAGTGCCTTCCTGGTGCCCCATCACCCCAACCTCTCTCCCACAAATGAAGAATTAATGCTATATGTTACCTGTACATGTTTCTTTTGTTAATCCCTTCACCTTCTTTTATCCAGCCCCTAATCCCCCCATCTCTGAGAGCTATCATTATGTTCCATGTATTCATGCCTCTGTTTCTGTTGTTCATCAGCTTATTTTGTTCATTAGATTCCACATATAAGTGAGATTGTATGGTATTTGTCTCTCTGACTGTCTTATTTCACTTAGCATAATAATCTCTTCATGCTGTGTGGTGATAGCCAGAGGGAAAGGGGGGAGGGGATTGGCAGAGGTGGGCAAAAGAGGGGAAATGGGGTCAGAAAAAGACTTTGCTTGGGGCGATGGGCACCTTGTACAGGGTGCAGATTATATTTTATACAGTTGCACACTGGAAACCTGTATGGTTTGGTGAACCAATGTCACCCCAATAAATTCAATTAAAAAAGCTAATGCTGGTCATAGCACTGAATTGATAGGAGAGGTGGGTGTGAGGTAGCGGCAGTCTGGGTTAGAGGACTTACGAATTGTTAAATATTTTGACTATTAGCCCTGCCTCAGTATCTCTTATTTTCCCCACCTTAAGCAAATATATATTGTTCTTTATGTTTTACATCAATAGTTTATTTAAAAAAAACAAACAACACGGTTCCCATTGCATCTTCAAAGGTTAACAGCTCATCTAAGCCAGAGGAATCTTTAGAAAACTATTTATGATATAACCACCAAGTCTTCCGAGAAAAAAGAAAAGATACTTAAAACATTAAAAAACTTAACACTGTAGAGAATATAAACACACCCCTGCAAATTTGGCTGATGGTGTAACTGAGGCAGGAAGAAATAGAACCTGCAGAGAGATAGGCAGCCACAGGCCCTGAGCTACACCAAGAGAGAGGCACACATTGGAATCCAGGGGCTCGGATATACTCACACTCACTGGCGTACACACAGGACACAGGGTACCCCAAGGTTCACTGAATTGTGCAGACCTCTTAGTGTACCCCGTGTCCAGTGCCAAGAAGGCTGGAATCTAGACATTTTCTCTCCCACTCCCCTTCCCTTGAGCCTCCCCTCAACCTTACCATGGGAGGTCCACAGAATCAGCAGGCTGATGGCGAGTAGTGCGGCTGCGTGGGAGGCCATAGAGGAAGAATGCAGGCTGACTGATGGTGAGAGTGTGCGTTTGAGCGTCTGTGAGTTGTGCAGCAGGCTGTGCAAGGCTGAAGCTTGGCTGGGAGTGGCTTGGCTAGTAGTGGAAATGTCACAGCTTTCTTGTAGGGTGCATGGGAGTCTGGGAATGTGAGTGTGGATGTTTGTGTAAGGGTGGACTCTTGACCATATTTATAGCCAGAGGGAACTTTCACTATTTCTACTCTGAAATCCCCCTTCATATTCATTGTTTGGATTCCCCTTCTCCCCTTGCCTCTTTCTGGGAACATGACTCTTCCCTCCCTTTTCCCACCTCAAGCAGCCTCCCACTCTTCTGCTTTCCTTGGCTTTAGCTCTGAGAGCCTAAGCAGTCTGCATTCTAGACAAGAGTAGGGAACCTTGTGTTCCTAGCTCCTTTGAGGGGGCCTGCACTATCATCTCATTGGTGGCATTTGTATTATCAGCCATAGGGCTGTCCTTCAGGGGAGGTGGTCAGAATTAGGGGGGTCAAAATAAGGGGTTGTGCCCCTGCTGGGGTCCAGCCTCTGCAGGTTTCAGGGTCCCTGAAGTATGGACGGTGCAGGCCACGAATGAAGAGTCAGACACCCAGTTGGATGCCAGAGAACAGCCAGCCTCTGTGGGTCTGACTAAACTCGAAGAGTTTGATTTAAGCTTTATTTTTATAGAAATTGTTCATAACATTAAAGGAACAGGTGCATGGCATGATCAGTTAAGCAGAAAAAAATCAATACAGAGGTAACTAGGAAAAGTACTGGAAATTCCATAGATTCAGTTATGTTAAACAAAGGTTATTCTGACCAGGCGATCCATTAATCAGACAATTAGAAATAGCTGTATGTACAGAGTTTTAAATGTCTTATTGATAAACAGATGTTTATTAAAGTTCTTAGAATTTGTCAAGGGTCAAAAGAATACACTAGACTGAACAGTGGTTATAGACGATTTATTACAAGGCCTTTGTGGTGTCTAACTTAGCTATCTATCTTCTTGTCTAGAATCTTTCTATACTTTGGACTCTAACTCCTTAGTAGTTATTTCAACGTGCTTCATTTGTAATAGTTAACCAGCTTCTCCTGCTTCTTTACCTGTCTAATTCCATTAACATATATTCCTAAGAGGAGGGGCTGTTACTCTATCAACTTTTAGACGTTCAGGGGCTACCCCATCAGGGGGGACTTTTGTTCTATGCCAAGAAATCATTTTGTACAACCTCATTGGAATTCTGTGGATCATTGGACCTTAAATACAGGTGTCTAAAAATCCCACCACCTATTAATCTCAAAGACAAACATGCAAGGAGAGACAGACAGGAAATCCAGCCACAGTTGCCTCTGCTGTGCAGATGCATTTTATCTGTCCTGACTGTGTCAAGGGACGGCTGTTGGTCGGCTCCCAACAGTGCCCCCTTTCCTAGATTTAGCCCTCATCCTCATTCTGTTCTCTGTGGTTCTTCCCTCTGGCTCAGGTTGAAAAGAAGGCTCTCTGGTGCCCTCAAAACAAGTATGGAGCCTGGGGTAGCCCCCCAAGTCATCACAGTGCCTGCCCATCATCATCTGGGAATCAGGCCTTCCCTTGAGACAAGTGGAGCGGAAAGGGAATGTTCCTTGGAAGGAGGCCCAGCACCCCCATCTCCCAGCTCAGGCCTCTGAGGTTCAACTTCCTGGCTTGATGAGCTCTGCCCCTTTCTCTATTTATTATTTACATATGTCCAATACCTGGGTCAGGAACATCTTGGGGGCCCTGGCTGGAACAGCCCTCTTCATCTTTCCCCCTCTCTCAATCCTGGGAACCAAGAGGGGATTTCTAAGGAGAAAGGGTGGCCAGCTCATATTCAGACAGATTTCCAAATTTCAAGGAACTAACAGATGTGGAAGGCAGACAAGTGATTTCCCATCCTTCCAAGAAAGACTAGAGGTAGGCCAGAAGAGAAAGCCTCAAAAGAGAGATTAATATGTGGGGCATGCATTCAACCATCCCACCTAAGCTCTGGACCTTCTTTTAAATGGGGTGGTGAGTCCCTTATAAGTTTTTGACTTATCTTTTTTCCATTTACTAACAATAATACTGTAGTAATAGCATTTGTGGCTGTTTACTATGTTCTAGGCTCTGTATCAAGGACTTTGCCATTATTGTCTTGCTTAACTTTCCCAAGAAAATTATAAAGTCATTTTTATTATCATCATTTTATTATCTGTTTTAAACAGAGATAATATCATCTGTTTATTATCTCTGTTTTAAACAGAGATAAGAAAAATGAGGCTCAGAGCACAAGGTCACACAGCAAGCAAGTGCCTTGAATCCAGGTGTCTTTTGTTGTAAAATTTATGCTCTGCTACTAAATTTATCATCCTGCCTATCTGCCATCTGTCCATTGATCATAGGTCGGTACAGAGCAGAAAGGCTCCACAGATAGCATCCCAGGTTGGGAGTCAGGTCCTACCACTTGTTAAGTTAACTGCATGATCATGTGCAAATATTCCATTTTTTATATCTTAGTATTCTTATCTGTAAAGTAGGATAGACCTACTAGCAATAGGTCTATCTAAAGCAATAGACCTACTTCTTAGGATTAAATGAGGTAATCTCAGTAAAGGCATTAGTTTAGGCTGGCACATAATAAATATTCATTAAGAATTAATATTAACCATTACTATTATGCTATCCTTTGAGTAAAATATGTGTCAATTAACTCAGCTAGCCATCTTTCCATTGAGCTTATCTATTCTTCTTACGGTGGTTCTGATTATTCTCTGTTGTCCCACCCCACCCATTCTCCACTCTTCTCTGCCCTGCTCTGCTCTCTGGAAGACTGGTCTTCACAGACAGCATTGATCAGGATCCCTTGCCCTCTAGCTTCTCTTTGTATTTGGACCACAGGAGGCAGCAGTGGAATATCAGTGGGTGGTAGGTGAGAAAGGTTGGGGTATGAATCCCTCAAATCCTTCATCTTGCTGCAATTCTTCAAGTGGAGTAATTGCTCTCTGGCAGTTGTTCTCAAAAGAGTGGTCTTTGGACAGCAGCAGCAGCATCACTTGGGAACTTGTTAGAAATGTAAATTCTCAGGTACTATTCCAGACCTACTGGAGGAATCTGTATTTTAGCACAGCCTCCAGGGATTGGGATACATGCTGCAGTTTGAGAACCATTGATTAGCGGTTACAGATCCTTTCAGGCTACATCCTCTCCATTGGTTTGTTTCTAAGGTTCCTGAAACACTGTTCCTTCCTCTTCCTCCTTCAGGTCTTAGTATGGTAACAGTTTGCCACTATTGTTAAACCCTGAGTGTTTCATCATTCCCTGTTGGTTCCTTAATCCTTGACCCCACCTCTTAAGTAGTCCCTTTATTAAAATCTTTCTGGTTAAACTTTTTTGAGTGTGCCATCTGTTTTCGGCTATGATCCTGACAGATGCAGTAAAGGTACCAGAAGAGATCCTAGGGAATACATTCCCAAAGTGGGATCCTAGTATCAGTTTGCTCAGATATTTGATGAGTACACAGATAATTTTCCTGTATAGGACAAGAGGACGCTAGTAATCTGGAGCATGAGAAGCATCACAATCACTTAGATTATTGCCAGTGATAGTCTAGGATGGAATGTTGGTAGAGAGAAAGACATTAGGAGATAAAACACCTGATGCACTTAATTGCTGTGGCCACAAATGGTGGCTACATATACTGTTGGGTGGGCAGCCTGTTTCTGACTGTGCAAAATTACACATGAGAAAGATGTGGTTAAGACCACATGGCAGATATGGCTAAGGATCAAGCCCATGACCTTATCGAATGATATGTGGAGTTGCTGCACCAGGTAAATACCCAATCTCACCGTATCCCTTATGCTAGGATAAGGGTACTGCTGGGAAGGAGTAGGACTCTGAGAGTTAGTATGGGGACATTTGGGCATATATGAACAAGTTTGGGAATTTGGACTCTCAAACCCCTTGGAATCTTCTTTGTTCCTCTGTAAACTATGAATGTTACAGACTTCCATTCATTAAAAATGTCTTTAATAAGTCCCTGGCAAAGGGCACGCATTTTCTCTTCGGGACTCAACCTGACTCTTCCTCATAGTCACCGTAGCCATGCTGAGGGTTTGATTCTAACAGAGCCTAGACAGGAATGTATGAGGTGCACTCCGAGAACAAGAGCACATACATTGAGAAGCTGCAGGAAGTTGTCGACTGTATTGGGATAATCCTGGGGACCTGTGAGGACACATTTACACATTTATTTATATGGGTGCCTTCACCCAGGATTTGTGTATTATTGTATTAGCTGAGCACCTGGTAGTGGTGTTCATAGTCTGTTGGATTGGTTACTGGAAGCCTGGGCTCACTATGATCAGTGAGGCTGAGACACTAGAACCTCACTGACATACATATTGTGGAACACTGCTCCTTAAACTTTGAGATGCAGATGATTCATTCTGGAGTCTTGATGAACTGTAGATTCTGATTCAGTGGGCCTGGGGTAAAGCCTAAGTTATTACATTTCTAGCAAACTTCTTTTTTTAAAATAATATATTTTATTGATTATGCCATTACAGTTGTCCCATTTCCCCCCCCCTTCATTCCCCTCCACCCTTCACACCCCTTCCCACCCACATTCCCCCCTTTAGTTCATGTCCATGTGTCATAAGTTCTTTAGCTTCTATATTTCTCACACTACTCTTGCTCTCCCCCTGTCTATTTTCTCCCCACCACCTATGCTACTTACTCTTTATACCTTCTCCCTCTCTCTCCTCCTCCCTCCCCTGTTCCTAACCCTCCATGTGATCTCCATTTCTGTGGCTCTGTTCCTGTTTTAGCTGTCTGCTTAGTTTGCTTTTGTTTGAGGCATGGTTGTTAATAACTGTGAGTTTGCTGTTCTTTCACTGTTCATGTTTTTTTATCTTCTTTTTCTTAGATAAGTCCCTTTAACATTTCATATAATAAAGGCTTGGTGATGATTAACTCCTTGAACTTGATCTTATCTGAGAAGCACTTTATCTGCCCTTCCATTCTAAATGAAAGCTTTGCTGGATAGAGCAATCTTGGATGTAGGTCCTTGCATTTCATGACTTGGAATACTTCTTTTTTGACCCTTCTTGCCTGTAAGGTCTCTTTTGAGAAACCAGCTGATAGCTTTATGGAAACTCCTTTGTAGGTGACTGTCCCCTTA